GAAAATGGCGCTACGATTAGCATGTCTTCGCTACTTACTATATAGTCCAAGCCCTAGGCTAACGCGCATTACATGGGTTTTCTAATTTAATTCTCATCATCCTATGAAGCGGCCACTTTTGTGATCCCCAGTCTGCAGATGCAAAAGCTAAGGTTTAGAAAGATTAGGTAACTTGTTGAAGGTTATCCAGCTAATAAGTGGTGAAGCAAGGATGTGAACCCAGGCAGTCTGCACTAGAACTTAAACTCTCAAGCATATTACTGCCTTAATTTCAGTGTGTCGATGAATAAATTAAAAAATCACTTGCTTGATTGATTTGCTTTACCAGTTCCCAGTGGATTACTTTATTTATTGGGCTAAGAAGAAATTAAGAAAACAGATTCTGAATTCAGGAGCTATTTATGTTGAAAGCGCCAACGCGTTTTAAATTATTTATTTTAAGAATGACATAAACATTAACAAAATTATCTTAAGTTGATGGATATCCACAGCTGTATCTTCTGATAACTTCTGTGTTGCCTAGGATTACTGGAAAATATTCATAGTAACGACAACAAATAGAAAAACACTTCCTATGTTTTTTAAAAACATTTTGAAATATTTCAAAAAACTGATGTTAGTGTTTCACCGTGGCCAAAGAACAAGCCAAACAAGGAGCAACAACAAGGAAATAAACCTAAGCCACGTAAATCTGCCCTGAAAAACCAATAAATCCAACTAGGTAGGGAAAAACAGTGACTGCAAAAAAATTCACAACGGTCTTGTCTGAGTACTGGTAGAGTACTGGGTGGGGAACTCCTAAAGAAAGAATTAAACATTGTATTTAAATCTGAAATTTGGTTTGGGGTTTCTGCTTTTGCTTCTGTGTAGTTCAGGTTTCAATTTTATTTAATGTGCTAACTTAAAATGGGTCAAGTAATCCTGCCCCCAAAGAGGGACAGGATTTCTGGCCACTCTCTTTTTAAAAACACTATTAGCTCACATGTATTTGTTCATGTATATGTACACATAAGTTTACTTAACAAACATGTATATTTATCCCTATAAAGGTACTTAGCTAGGACTGCTAAGGTTTAAAAAAGACCCAGTATTTACTGAGTGCTTAAAACATACCAGGTACTATATTAAGTGCTTTACATAGATGTCTTCATTTAACTCTTCCAGCCAGCCCCGTCTCTGAGGTTAGCACTGTCATCTTTCCCATTTTATGGAGAGAAAACTGAGGGAGGTGAGGGTGGGTGCACTTGCTCGGGGTCACACAGCTGGGCTTCTAGCCCGGGCATCCTGACCTCAGAGGCTATACTCTTTACCATGAAGGTCTCCCCCAGAGACTTCCAAGTACACAGCACACACAGCCATAGTCTAACCTTCCAGGTCTCCCTTGTGTCACGATCGTCTCATGAACAGTTAGTGAGCCGTGGTCACGTTCAAGAACACAGCTAGAGCAGGGGCCCAAGTCTGGCACTCAGTGGGTAAGGGCACACTCAGCCCTGGTCTGGGAACCAGCTCCACCTTTCTGGCTTTGCGGGCTTGAGCAGGCTACTTAAGCCCTTTATGCCACCGTCTCCTCATCTATAAATTGAGGATAATACTAATACCTCAAAGAGTAAGGATGAAATTTGAAAAATTATTTGGCAGAGGACAGCACACAAACGCTACTGTTACTACTACTATTAATGCTATTATTATTATTTTTTAAATTTATTCCCTGCCCTTGAGAAGCCAAGGGGGAAGGAGAGGAAATCACGCAAATAATTACAAACTGGTATAGCAGGTTCTATAATTGTTGAAACCATATTGGTGCTTTGGGCGGGGGGATGTGTGCACAGTGAGGAATAACAGGGAAAGAACAAGAAAATAGGAGTTAAATTGAGGAGAGGGTTCTGATTAACGCCAAGTCCTACACCCAAAGTTTTAAAAGGTGATTTTGTATATTGTGCTTAACACAAATGGAGATGTTTGGCCATCTACTGAGTACCTTTTATGTGCCAGGCACCGCAGGAGGATTTCCCCATGTGCTCTAGGTCATTTAGTGCTGACAGCACTCCGAGGTGCTGGACTGTAGCTGGTTTTGATTAGGGCTCCCTGTTTCTCTGCACTGAGCAGGGATACCCGTCGGGTCAGAGGGTCGGCGGTCCACCTGCAGTGATCTACAGCCCCTCATGTTCGTGCCTGTGCCTAGATACACAAATTTGTATTTGGGTGACTCTAAAAGTCACAGCATAAAAAAAGATAATGCATTGTGAACTTTAAACAATTTACAGTAATTTTTTTTTTTTTTTACATTTAAAAAACAATAAAGCACAGGTTTTATGTGTCCTTTTTTCATTGCTTCCCGCTCTAATCTTTCTCCTGTGCTCCAAACGTCTAATGACCTTTTTAGGACACTCAGCTTCTTTTTACTTCCCATCCTGCACTGAAGGCCCGCTTCTGCTCCGTCCTCCCTGTCTCAGTTAAGGAAATCAGTAGCATCTAGTAACCAACCTCGTTTTCCGGGATAGAAATGTGGGGCTTACTTCTCCTGACTCACCAAGTCCTCTGTGTGGGTACCCCCGGGGGCCTCTCATTTCTCTGTCCCTGCAGGCTCACTGCTCACGTACAGACCCTCCCCGTCTCTTGCCTGGCTGCCTGGAATTATCTTCCTCCTGCTCTCTTTGCCTCTAGTCTCTTTTCTATATTTATCAATCATCCACAGTGCTGTTCCAGATTCCATTCTAAACACAGGTATGCTTATTCCTCTGCTTGAAATCTGCAGTGGCTCCCTAGTGCCCACAAGATAAAAAAGGCCCAAGGGCCTCGGCAGGACACATCAGGGCTTTCACCGTCTGACTCGATCCCATGTTTATATCATTATCTGCTATCAGTGCAGGCCACACAGCTGCTCTAACTACAATGGACCACACGCCCAGTCCTATAACTTTGGACTTAATCGTCCCAACACTGGGTACTTTTCAGAGCCCACCTTCAGATACACAATGCCCATCTTCTTATATATAATCCAGTTATATTACCTTTTCTCCAACTGATTTTTTAGAATAATTCCTACAGGATTATGATCTATTTTCTGTTTTCTCCTCTGGACTTCCACCAAAGTTTAAAAGGCTCACGGCTAAGAAATAATAGAAGACTAGAAGGGCACCTAAATTTAGATGCCTTAGCACTGATGGTCTCATCACCTAAAGGGCCAGCCTCATTCATGCCAGCAAGACTAACCGGGGACACAGTTTCTGATGATGGGACTCACCGCGTGGCCCTCTAGGTGCAGTGACAATTTCCGTGGAATAGATGAATCAAGGGGCATTATCAGTTGGATGACGTAAAGATAATATCTATGTATGCTTTTGCTTTTCTTTAGAAGCATGTTACTCTCCAGTCAAAGACAGTCAGCACCTAACTGAGTTTACATGGACAATTCTGGATGTGCTTTATTAAATTTAATACCTCTTGTTAGCAAAAATCATCATGAATAAAAAGCAAATTATTTTTCTGGTATTTAAATTACAATACTGATATGGGTAAAGATAAGAAAAATTCTATTCTATTTCACTAATGTACATAAAGCCTTTAACAGACCTTTCTCAATTTATCTCTAAAGTACATTTAGACCTTAAAAATTTTTTAAAAAGGAGCAAGTTCAGTTATTAGCATTAGATCGACTCATGCAGGAGATGATTTTCACAACTCAAATGACTGCTCCTGATACATTAATGCCTATCACAGAAAAGCAGGCCTAAAACAGTCAAGCAAAATGTTAAAGTATTATGAAAACTGCTTCAGACTGAATGTACTTTGTGTTGTGGAATCATTTACCTCTGCTTCCAAATGTGTGATCCACGTGGGCTTTGAAACCAGGGCCTCAGCTGCAGTAACAATGGGGTAGGATCAAATGAGCCCAGCTGGTCCAGGGTAGAATGCTGTCGTCATTAATGATTTTTTAAAACTAAGTTTTTAGTCTAGAAGAACTTCTTAACAATTGTGTGTGTGTTCGTGGGTAAAGAAACAAATAAACAGGAACCCCTCACGCCGAGGACTGGATAAAAGGTCAAATGATTTTCTAGTCTAACCAAGTCACGAGATGATTCTTTTCGTTGCCTCCCTTTTTTAAAGACCCGTGCTAGCAGACCGTCTTTCTGCAACTTGAAAGGAACAACTGATTTAAAATACCAATTTCTTTCTTATTTAAAGTTGAAGAGGTAGGGCCAAACTCTCATCCTATATAGGCCTGTGGGAGTTCTCAGCGGGATTCTCATCCTATGCCGTCTGGTAATAATAGCTCACCCATCCTTGTTTGTTTTAGGAACTCTCCCAACGAGTTGGGGTTCAGGCATCAGTGTACTCAGATCAAGGTACTGCAAGGAGAGTACGCCGTGGCCGATAGAGCACATGACTAAAGAAGTTCGTTTATGGCCGTGTGGCTATAAAATGGTAAGTCAGACGAATGTCTTAGATGTCATTCAGCATCTTGGACCGCGACGACCTTCTAGCGATGATATTTAAATAGAAAAACCTTTGCAGACTGTTAACCTATCATTACACAGACTCAGTGGCACGGCACTGCAACTTAATTAGCAGTGTGGCTTGCATCTATAAAACAGAAGTAACACCACTGCTCTCTTTTTTATTATTGGTTTGTGTTTCTAGAAAGGTGTGACCTTATCTGTAGGGTTCTGTTCATTTATGCCCATCTACAAAGGATTCAATTATGTTCTTTTAGCTCACTAGGCTGAGGAAATTGAAAACGGCTGCTTCAAAATTAAAAGTGTTAACGCAATTAGTGAGCAGAACCTCATCATCTTCCTTCCTTCGGAGAGAATGCAAACATGTTTAAGGAAATAAGGCCTAAGATTTTCAGAAGAGAAAATCCTGGGCAAGGAAATTATTAAGAGTTTTCCTTTCCTCTTTCCCACGTGTATTCTGCAAGTTTCCCTGGTTTTCTTGGACAGAACTAGTTAAGGGCCAAGCTACACATTAGCGTCAGCAGCCAGAAAACATCAACTTACATCAGACGCTGGTGATTCGAGTACGATGCCGAACCCTAGGATGTGGTTCTCCCCGGGGGAGGGGAGACTGGGATTCTCGGGGGCCGCCGCTGCCGCCTTCTCGGCTTCTAACACGCTGGGCTTCTGTTTCACAGTGAGAGGTTCCACAGCCTTCAGGGGCACTTTTTTCTTTTTATTTCTCTTGCGTGAGATGGCAGTTCGCTGGGAGCAGATAAGGGAAATTGGGGGCTGCTGTCTGTTCTGGGTTCCAACTGTGAACGACAAACAAAAATATGGTACAGGCACTTGTCTCTAACTCAGGAGTATGTACTTGCTTCATAAACTGAGGCTGAAGTGGGTTTACTCAAGGACGAAGCACACTGAAATCAACCTCACGCTGGACCTGAAGATAACCAAATGCAGCCTTAAAGGTCTACAGGCAGAAAAACCCAAGAGAATACTCTGCTCCAAATGCTGGTGGGTAATCAACAGGAGGAAAGGATGATGAGCTCTGAAAAAACACTGAAGCATGACTTTACGCATCCCATGACACTCTTGTATAACTGAGAACTCCGGAAATTAAATTGCGGTGTGTATGTTCATGCTTTCTGGCAAGCCAGTCTCAGGAATATTCCAGTTGTCACTTGAGGTTAAACTGATCAGTAGCCAGCAACCTACAGGTGCCAAAACCGACAAAGGCTGAGCAAGGACGGTCACTGGGGCAAAGCTGATCAAAAGCGTCATTCAGGAATGACCAGTAAGCATGTGGGCCAGGCCTGCCGGTCAATTTCAGGTCCAGTTACTCCGGTCTCACAAACCAATGTTGTTCCACACATCAACTATCTCCACACACTACTCTCCTGGGTTCCGACCAGGCTGCTTCTCTCTGCCTCAGTTTCATGTGGCTGAAAAAGAGGAAGGCTATAATTCTGTACAAGGAGAGCAAATCAGTAAGACCCAGAAACAGTTTGAGTTCCAAAGACGAAAAGCACCCATCAAGAACTGGGTGCCGATGCTGCCTGTGTACTTAAGGGGACCAAGGATGCTAATTACAGTTCTCATAGGTGCCCTTCGAGAAGTAACGTTTATTAACCAGTTAAAAATACTCTGGGGGCTTCCCTGGTGGCACAGCGGTTAGGAATCCGCCTGCCAATGCAGGGGACACAGGTTCGAGCCCTGGTCTGGGAAGATCCCCCATGCCACGGAGCAACTAAGCCCGTGCGCTACAACTACTGAGCCTGCGCTCTAGAGCCCGTGAGCCACAACTACTGAAGCCCAAGTGCTGCAACTACTAAAGCCCTCGAGCTTCAGGGCCTGCGTGCCGCAACTACTGAAGCCCGCACGCCTAGAGCCTGTGCTCCGCAACAAGAGAAGCCACCGCAATGAGAAGCACATGCACCGCAACGAAGAGTAGCCCCCGCTCACCGCAACTAGAGAAAGCTCGCGCACAGCAACGAAGACCCAAAACAGCCAAATACATACATAAATAAATAAATAAATAAATAAATAAATAAATAAATAAAAATACTCTGATGCAAAGTTTAGTAGGAAAATATGGCATTATTACTTAAGTCTTCATGTGTTAATACGGTTTGATAAATACAACCACAGGACATAGCTGCTTTTTTTTTTTTTTTTTTTAAACAGAAGTACACTTCTAAAAATAAGCCAAATGAAAATCTAAAGATCTTTACATGCACATCATATGGATCATTTCCTACCAGGTAGTAAATAAAGAATATTTGTACTCTGAACTTGATATCTGCATCTCTAGGCTGGACAGAAATTTATAAATAAGTATTAGAAACAAACTACTTGCACTGCAAAATGAGCAGAGAAGTTTTTTGACCGCCCATGCAGTAATTAGTCTAGCTCACCGGTTCTCGACCTCAGCTACACGTTAGAATCACCCTGGAGCTTAAAAAAAAAAAAAGCCAGTGCCTCAGCCTCACCCCTGATTAATTTGAATTGGAATTTCCAGGGGTGATGCCTGGGCATCAGGCTTTTTTTAAAGCTCCTCAAGTGATCCTACTATGTAAGCCGGACAGGAACTTTTCTCTGTTTGGTCCAAATTTTCACCCGAGGTGGCCAAATTTTTCCCGAAAGTCAGATGGACAACCTAAGAATTATCTACGGTCTAGGACTCCAGCCTCACAAAATGACTTAAGTTTAAAGAACACAAGTACTGTCTAAGTTTTTCTCCTTCCGCAAGTCTGGACAGAGCAGCCGTAGTCTTTTGTATCCAGATCTTATCGCTTGATCTTAATCCTGGCTTTCTCCCTGAAGTAAAGGTGAAACTTTCTACATAGAATTTAAATCTACGTTTTATAGGCAATAAACCTTAAGTAAATCTATGCACTCAACACAAATTCTTAAGTTTAAGAAAAGGAGAGTAGTTTATTCAGTTTATCCTTTGGGTTCTCCTACAGCTTTTGGAGTCGCTTACCACCCTAATCTGCAGAGGTTCGGAAAAGAAACCAGGGTGACATAGCGGCATTGACTTAATAGATCCTAAAAAGGCTTCAGTTAAGGATTTAAAGGGTTGCAATTTGTAGTTTGCCATTTCAGGAAGGAAGGAGCTTAAGTAACAAAATAAATCATTACAATTTCATATGCACATTTTCTTAAGTGCTAACAAATTCTTCCACTGAGGAAAGAATCTGTACCGGATGAAGTAACCTTTCTTTCTGAGCTCCTCATTTAGCAGATGTTAGCCTTTACCAGGTTAATAAGAACACAGATTATCCTGGTGGAACAAGGTGAGTTAAATGCTTACTGGCCTGACCAAAATGCGGATTTTTTTTTCCCTTGGGATAAGACCAAATCCAGCACATAAAACTAGATGTCGCTTCTCAGAAAGCCTTTTGCCCATTTTACTTTCACGTGATCTTGGGTGACTGATATGTTTTAGTATGAAGCTTTTTACATCAAACCACATCAGTGAATATTAAAATTTTACTAGAATTCACTAAACGGCACCAAGTACGATTTCTGAACAGTGACCTTTCTGAATATCTTTACAGAGAAAAGGGGGTTAGGGATGATAGTCATAAAAGACGGTGCTCTTTTCCTGCTCAAGGAGCAGCTTTCCCTGATGAGGGGGAGAGCTTAATAAAATGATTTGTTACTTTCTGTACCTGTCACAAAAATGTCCTTTTCTTTTCTCCCCTAATTGTGGAGACTAGAAAACACATCCACTATAACAAGGACCTAGACTTCTAGACCTCTGTGAAATGCCCCAGGTCTTCATAACAACGCTAACGAAATAGCTGAGGCTCGGATCATGCTTTACAGAGTTCATTTCCATTTACTACCTCATTCCATTTTCACAACAACCCTGTGAGTTAGATATTAATACTCCAGTTACAGATGAGAAATCTGAGGTTCAGAGAAGTTAAACAAGCTAGGACGGGAGAAACTGGGACTCTGACCCCAAACTGCAAGTTCACTGCTCTTCTGTTCAACTTCCAACAGGG